CCCTTCAGGAGAGACCTCCAGGGAAACCCCTTCACGCCTAGGGTGCTTGCCTTTACAGATCCTATATCTCCACCGCTCAATGTTATTACGAGTGGGGCGAGTGCAAGCCTTACCCAGGAGCGCCAAAAGCCCAAGAGTCGAAACGGCCTTGCAGGACACGCAGACAAGGGGAGGATACTCGTCACTGCACTGAAACGAAATCAGCCTATGCCAAAGGGCCCCGACATTCTGGAGGCTGGTGGGGGCCTTGCCAGAGGGCCCTGCGGACTCAGGGCATGGCGAAGCACCGAAGGGGAACTCTATTTGCCTACGGATACGCAGGCAGATTCTACAACGCCAATATGTAAGACACCATTCCCAGTCGTGATGGAACCCAGAGTCCGAGACATCCTTGTCGGGCTTGGGGGGTCTGGCGAGCACGGCTCCACTTAGATCCGAACGGGGCCACCACGGCATGAGCTTATCACCTGGTATGACCACGGCTTTAGCAACCTGAATCTTAAACGTGAGATCGTCGTGCTGCTGCGGGGTGGCAGGAGGATGGAGGGCGAGGCCTGCCTTGGCCGCCGCGTCGGCGGCGTCGTTGCCACGCTTGTTGAGAACCTCCAATGGTGTGAGGTCATCGCTCTCGCCGGCGTGGGCTTTGACCTTGTTTCCGACTCCCACGGGGCAGAATCAGAGGTGAGCATCATACCTGCGCATGGGCGCCTATAAGAGAGCGTCAAAGCTCTTGGCGCCCCAAAGGCTCTAACAACATTCAAACAATCTGAGTGCCCCCCTCGAGGGGCCTACAATTCACTGAGACGCGGCCTCAAAGGCCCCGAACTCCCCTGACTGACTGGTTTGGGGGAGGGGGGCCCACATAGGGCCGTGGACAGAAACCAGGAGGGCACCAGTCTGACCCGGGGCTGTAACCCCCCAGCTCGCTCTGGACAGCTCCTTAATTGCGTGTTGCAAACAGCTACATACCGTCAATGAAAATATCCCCAGAGACATTGGTGTCAACCCTTGTGGGGTCGTCAGGCCAGGACGCGGCAACGCCGCAAGAAGCTCGGGGACGCGGCCGCTGGTCTCCAGGATGAGGAAAGATGCGCCTAGTAAACAGAACAATACTGGCGGCACACTCAGGGTCGATGGCTCGGGCTGCCTCCTGGATGTCGCTTTCCACCAACTCATCCCTGGTATCTTGGGCAGCTGGGCAGTGCCGCATAGAGTGCAACATCGAACCAGGAGAAACTCTGCACAGAGGGCATAAGTTGGATGCCAGCTGGTATCCAGAAGAGATGGCGCGATCGCACGACCGCGTAGCTCCACAGCACACTCCGCGAATACAGCCCTTTCCCAGGGCCGTGAACTTGGAAGAAGGCAGAGCAGCTTCGACGACGTCGAAGCATGGCCTATGGTCGATACCTAAAGAACTGCCAGATTCACGCTACAACTGTCGTCGCAGCACCCCTTCGCGCAAAGCAGTTTCAACCAGAGCAGGAGAGAACTCGGTTAAACCCAAGATCTCTCCAACATCGTTGGCTAACTCAGTGAACGAACGCATGGGCCACCCAATCCGCGCCAACGACATCTTCACGGCCCCGATGGGGCCCCGAACCGAACGCCAAGAAAGCTTACACTCCTGGGGGTGCCCATCAGCGCCTGGCTGGAAAATAGCCCCCCCAAGAGGCCCGAAGGGGGCGGAAGGGGCGGGGATGTTTGAACCTCCGAACTTGATTGGCTCACGCCTCCTTGGAATATCGTATTACTGGAAGTACTGCGGCATGCCAACAAGGATCGCCTTCTAGAAGGGGGAGGGAAGTGGGGCTCCTCATAGCGGCCGAGGGCTTTCCTCGACGCATCCAAGCGAGCTCGTAATCCGAAACCCCGTGGGCTTCTCCAGCGTAGGTCGCCCCCTGCAGGAGGCCCAGCCGCAAACATGCGTTTAGAATGCCGCTGCCCCAGGGCCGAGCGCGCGGGCTTCAACTTCGCCACGCTTTTCTTGAAAGACCTGAAGCGCTGCTTCGCCTTGGCGCCGCGGCCCGCTTGCCTGCGCGGCCGTCCAGCCGTGTCGTCCACGCCGAGGTTCGCAGCCGTGCTCGTCCCAGGGGTAGAGCCGCCGAGGCCCTCGAGAAGCTCCCGAACCTTGTGCCCCACCGCCTGCGAGGAGCAAGCCACAGAAGCTTTGTCCACGGAAACAACACTTTTCATATCGTCAGTGAGCACGGCGTGAAGCTGGGTGGCTCCATCGAGAATGTCAGATGCAACAGCGCTCGCCGCCTGTGGCCTGCAACCCGTAATCGTCGATATAGATATCGAGAGACTCTCTGACCGAGGGGGCGAGGAGGTCGATGCCAGGTACGATGTGCGCCCGAACGAACGTAGTCGCGAAAGAGTCCCCCGCTATAACTCCATTGGGGGCGAAGAAGGGTCCTTCGATCATGCCAGCAATGCCAACCCACCGGGGGCCGCGATGCATGGTGATAGCCAATCTAGATATCTGCCGAGGGAAATTCAGAACATCACATCGAGACTGTAACTGGCTAAGGTCTACCGACTCGTAAAACTTATATCAGTCCCATAATACAGAACAAGCAACTCCTGGCCCTCGAGAGCCAATGGCAAACTCAGCTCTGACGGATTGTCTCCAGACAACGTCAGCAGCACCAGTAAACGCCCCTGCCGCGAGGTAAGGCCGAGCCAGATCGTTCTCCCGAGACACAGCGTAAGCACGACGCAGACGACCATATAAACGATACATAGACGAGAAAAACCCAATAGGCCTCCACCCACCCACCTGCTTCGGAAGGAGGGAGATCATGATGGAACGAACGTGGTGAGGTACGACGGTCGTAGCCTCCATGATGCTGAACATTGTCATGGGAACGACAAGGGCCCCGTCGGACGTCGCGGCGTAGTGGCGCACGTGGAATCCATCCACGCTGATAGCCGCACCCCTGGGCTAAGACCTAGAACCTTTCCGGAGCGCATCTGGGGGCTCGAAGGGGGGGGCCGAGCAGCTGCAGTTCGAAGTTATATCGGGCTCGCGTGGGGGCGAGGGGTAAAACCGTCTGGGGGGCTCGAGCCCCGCTTGCCGGAGACTGCTGAATCGGCGCGCCTCCGACTGGAGAAGCGACTGAGGGTCAGACAGCACCAGCCCACTGGCCGAAAGCGTGATGGCGGGCTTCCATGGTCCCACATCACGGGTCCACCAGTGGACCTTGCGCCCGCCAGAGGAAATGCCGTCCAGAAGCCATGTCCTCCAACTCTTCTCCGCAGCAGCCTTTCCCGAGAAAGCACCCAGGAAGGCAGGCGACTTCTCGAGCAGGTCAGCACCCACGTCGGGCAAAGGATTTTTGGAAGCCTCAAGGGGCTCATCGCGCACGGGGCCTTGACTGCAGGACGGGAGGCCAGAAACAATCCACTCCTGGACGAAAGAACGCACCTGGGTGTGCAACTCCGAACATTCTCCCAGATTGCGTCCAATTGGGTCCAACAGGAACCTCGCCGATTGGAGTGCTGAACCTCGTCGCTCATGATGCTGAAAAGCTTCAGCGAGAAAGATGCAGAAGGTGCTCTCCAAGCACCTGACATCATTAAGGCCTGGTTGACGAGCCACCCTCTTGTCTTTGTCTAGACCGGATTTCCAAGCCAATTTGGGGAGACGGCCCCTGGCCCCAACAAAGGGAGAGAACATTGGCGGTCCGCGACCAACTCCAACTCAGCTTTGCCGGCCCACATTCTGTAAAGACGGTTGAGATGTTCCTGAGCGGCGCCCCATCGGGGCCCTGGGCCTAACGAGATCAAGGCCATATTGAGCGCAGTCGAGCTCCGCATCCCTGTCAGATGGCTGGGATGCGGGGCCGATAGCACTATCGACAGGCATGGGTGGTGGCCTCTCAAATCCCAAGGCCTGCAACTGCGCAGTTTGCGGGGAGAAGCTGATCCGAACTCGCTTGTGCGGCTTCGTCGCCGCGTCGAGACAGATCGAGGTGCTCCCGATGGCCTTGGACAGGCCGAACGAAACGAACAAGTAGTCTATCTTCCGCACCCCCTGCGTAGAGGTGCCCGTGCAAGTGCTAGCAACGTCAGGGTAGACAATGTTAGCAGGCACGGTACTAACAAGCTCCGACGACGCCGGCTCTTCGGGCTCCATGTGAAAATAAGCGCCAGGGGCGAACGAGCCTTGGAACGAAGACATCAGCGCGCCTATGGAGGGCAGGATGCCCAAGTTCTGCTCCGAGAGACCTTCCGAGTCCTTCAAGTAACCACTGACGGCCATGAACTCCATGCCCCCTGGAATCTGAACGACAGCAGCACCCGCTCTATGTGGGGCCGCGCACGGACCGTCAATCATGTCGTGGATGCCCCGGAAGTCACGAGCCAGGATAGCAACACCACCAGAAGAGCCCTGACCATCTCCCCTGGTGGCTGGAAGGAAACGAGATTTCCAACCCGAACGAAAGGCCCGCTGCGAGGCCTCACTCACCTGGACATCACTGACCCGGTGAGCTTCCTGAATCAAAACAACGTGCGCGTTCGTCCTGGCAAGCCAGGTCTTCGCGCTGCCCCAACCAGTGCAATTTACGGTCTCTAAACAACGTTCAAAACTGTCCGAGCAAGCTGGGGCCCTGAGGCCTTTGCAACTATCCAAGGTGGGTTCCTTGGAGGCGGGTAGGCGAACATGCCTTGATGTAGCGGGCGAAAGTTCCCCACTCAAAAAGTTAGAACTTGAAGCCTTCCCCCTCGCCGCCGCTGGCCCAGCGCAGGCCTCTGCTCGGGGCGAGGAGGGCTCATGATGACTCCTTGCTAGAGGCAGGAGCCGCCAGGGCGATGCGGGCCCGCTCACGAACGTCCGCGGCAGGAGCCTCGGGCTCGGCGTCAGGGGCTGGTGGTGCCTGATCCTGAGGTTCGGAATCAGCACCTCCGCCATCGCGCCCTGGTCCTCCCTCTCCGCCGCCGCCGGGGCGGGCAGGCGGAGCTGCGGCGGCAGCCTGCCCATCTGCTCCTCCGACCTTGCGCTTCTTGGCGAGGCGCTTGACGTGGGCGGAGTGGTCGGCCCGAATCTGGTCGACCGCGGCAACCATGTTCGCGAACAGCTCCTTGGTGAGAGTGGACAGCCCAGCCTGCAGCTCCGCTCGACGCTTTGCGAACTCCTCGCGGTCCTTGGCGGACAGCTCGTAGTCGGTGTCGTCCAGGGCGAGAAGCTCCTCGTCGTCGGTGATGGTGATGGCATCAGGCTTGCCGTCGAGAACGTCGCGGATGCTGCTACCATTGCGAACGCTAGGAAGGACAGGAGCGGACTGAGACTGGATGACCGCCTTGTGGAGGCGCGTGACCAGGTCCTTGTGCAGCTTGTATTGCTTGTCGAGCTCAGCCTGGGCGTCGGCTGCTGCGGTGGTGCAGTCGGCGAGCCACTTCTCAGCCTTCTCCATATTGCCGAGCTCACGGTCGAGGCGCTTCTCCAGGATGCGGACCTGCTGAAGCGCCTCATTGGCCTGGCGCTCCAAGGGCTTCTCCACGGGGCCCTTGTCCGCGTCAAGCTTCTGCTTCCTCCAGACCTGGTACTGTGCTTTGGCAGACTCATCGCCGAACTTCGTGGTCAGCGCGAGCAGCGAGTCGATCTCCTCCATCGTGATGCCAGGCGGGATGCTCGCGCCCCCAGGGAGAGCGAGAGACTTGCCACCACCACGCTGCCAGCTGTTCTTGCCGCCTCCTTCACCTTGAGACACGCCGCCATGATCGCCGACGGCCTCGAAGCGTGGGCGGCGGCAGTGCTTGCACCAGGAAAACCAGCTGAGGTTCTTGGAGCAGCCGCAGTCCGCGTGAGCACACTTCCATCTGGGGCCGTCGCCGCCGCCCGCACCGCGGCGCGAACCCCCTTGCTTGTACCACGGCCACGAGTCGCCAGCTGCCATGGCTTCGTCGTGCTCTGAGAGTCGAGACCGAAAGGGCAACCGAGCCAAATTGGCTCGCGTCCACCCAGCCGTTCTGAATCGTTGGTGAACGCAAGCGCAAAGTACTTGTGCCAGAACGGCTAGGAAGAGGAGGAGGAGGAGGAGGAGGAGGAGGAGGAGGAGGAGGAGGAGGAGGAGGAGGAGGAGGAGGAGGAGGAGGATGATGAGGAGGAGGCGTGACCCTTTGGTGCGCGGCCCAAGGGGGGGCCCAAAGGGGACACCACCAAGCGCGCAAGCCGCTGCCATCGCAGCGGACTCGGCGATCGGGGGGGCCCCATTGGGAGCCCGCACCGGAGGTCGCTCCGGCGAAGGGTCACTTTTGCGTGTAGCCGACTCCTGCGCTGAGGCGGCTTGAACTCTGCTGCCGGCTCGGCGGCACCCAGGTCAACAGATCTGGAAATCTCGGCCCACCACCGCTCGCACTCTGAGTGGTCCTGGGAGTACCGCTTGTACATGCAGGGCAGCAGGTGTGGCCGCGGCCCGTCGCGCACGCGCGTGGCCTGCAGCTCTTCAGCCACGCCAGGGCCGTCCTCCACGCACCAGAGGCCGCGCAGAGACCCGATGACCTCCAAGTCGTCCTCGAGATCCTCGAGCAGCTTCGCCATGCGGTTGGCCCTCCTTCCCTCCAGCGAGCAGAGGATGGGCGCCTCCGCGCAGGCCTGCTGCTGCTTGAGCCGGTCGTAGTCCACCAGCGTTTGGCAGCTGGCTGCCCGCGCGAGCTCGCGCGCGGCCTTGAGCTGCTCCTCTGCTCTGTGCATCATGCGCATGTCGAACAGGAGGATCCCCAGCTCGTAGCTGGTCCTCTGCGACCGCGGCTGGCTCCGCAGGGCCTCTTGCAACCGCCTCCGCTCCGCCCCGTGGCAACCCTGCACCTTGGTAAAACAAAGAGGAACCGTTACCGCTACTCCCGGGACCTCTCCTGGGGTGCATTCTGACCAAAATTTCGAGGCGAATCCAGCGGTGGCGACGAGGGCCTCCCAGGAGGCCCAAAAAGGGGGAAACGAGGGAAGGGCAGCGGTATGAGTACCTTTTCCTCCTATGAGACCTGGCCCATCAACGCGAGGTTGTGCCCCGCGCAGCCGCAGTCCAGCCCAGCCCGCTGCAGCTCGTCGCACGCGCGACGGGCCTCGGCCAACGCCTCCCGGGCCTTTCGGAGCAGGGCGAGCTGCGACAACGGCAGCTCAAGCTCGGTCCGCGCACCCCTCCTGGGGCCCAACCGCACCAGCTCCGCGAGCTGCGTCCAGCCGTGGCGACGAGGGGACCCCCCCAAGGGCCAACTGCCGTTGTCCTCTGAGCCTTGCCTTACGTTGTTCCCATCGTACTTGAGGACCACATCCCAGAAATAATCTTCGGCACCCAGAGAAGTATCGAAACAGTGTCGAACGAGTATCGTCTCCCAGGGCCCGACACGTGAAAACCCTCCAGTTTCGGTACTTTCTTGGTGTTCGAAATTCTGTCTGATGATCAAGGCTAAAGTAGGTTGGAACATCATACACCTTGCCCATGTCCCAGTAGCGCAGGCTCAGGTTGTAGTGCGCCAGGAAGCGCCGCAGCGGCGCTGGCTTCGCAGGCCGCAGCGCGCCCTCCAGCCGCTCCAGCAGCGCGCGAGCGTCGCGCAGCCGGCGCTTCGTGCTCGCGTCTCGGGGCCGCAGGCGCATAGCCTCGCCGTACTCGCGCACGGCCAGCCGCTGCTGGTCCACTGCGCAGCGCACGGCCTTGGGCGCCACGGAGGCCAGCGTGGCGCCGTCGGCGCCGGCGGGGTCGTGGGCGCCCGTCAGCAGCCCGGCGGTGTCTTCCAGCCACATCCGCATCGCTTCCTCATGGCGTAGGCCCAGCTCCACGTGCCTCTCGAAGCAGGCGCGCGTCGACATGGCCCGAGGGCGGCCGAGCCCGCCGACGACCAGGCAGTGGCCAGAGAGGGGGGCACGCGCGCTGAGATCCTTGAGCCCAATCGGCTACGGAACCCTTCTTCCTCCCCAGAGATCCGATGTCGGATTGTTTTCGATGCGTGGTCCCCGGAAGCCTCGACCCATTCCCCAGGACCGGTTTTTCATCCTGAGTCGTTTTTTGACGGTCCCGGGGCTCGGCGAGGGCTCCTGGAGGCAGAAAATTGGAAAATACATCCGTCTTGAATTTTTCAATACGTTGGATCTCTGGGTCCTCCTCCTCCCTACACCTTCAACGTCGCGATTCTCCACGGCGTGTGCCCCTCAAACTCTCGACCTCGTCCTCGGGGACTGTTTCTCCGTCATGGGGGGCTCTCTGAGGGCCTCGGCCCTGGGGAAGGGGCCCCCAGAGGCGGAAACCACCAGACGGCGTCTTTTTTCCCGCGACGCCTGCCTTGGGGTCCTCCTCCCCAAGGGCTGGTCCCTGAATCCTTTCTGGGGACGTTCCGCCCTGCTTTGTCAGAGGTGCGCTCCGACGTGGGCACCTCTGGCGGCCATCAAGAGCAGGAGGACTTCACAGAGCACCTACGAGCCAAGAGCACCTGCATCCCAGATCCCTGAGGGGGGGAGGGGATAAGGAGGAGGGTCAGAGTAAGTTCAGCATACACCAGCAGTGCTGCAGCACTGTTTTTTTGTTTTTTTCTCCCCCCCGTCGGCGGCGAGGCCGGGGCAGTCCGCTCCGGAGCGCGTGGCTACTCGGGGCAACCGACAGGCGAATTGGCTGGCGTGCAAGAGGGCGGAGAAAGAGGAGAGCGGCATCGCGGGGGGAGGCTGCTTCTTAGAAGGCGCCAGCCTTACATCTATAGGTAAGGCCCGCACCTTTTAAGAAGCAAGGGTACTTCTAAGAAGACCTCTCCCTCCCCCCGGAAGGGAAAACGCTCAGACGTGGAAGAGTTCCGCGTCGAGCGGGCCGGAGCGGCCGACCAGGGCAGCGGTGGCCGTGGCAGCAGCCGGGGCCGAGCCGAGGGCGCACCCACGGGCATGCCAAGCAATGCTGCAGCACACCGTCCTCAGAACTCCCTGCAAGCAAGCCTTCTCTGTCAGTGCGGGGATAGGCCTAAGTCGGGCATGTCCTCCTGCAGGCGGATGTTGGAAGGAAAAAAGCATACCCAACAAATGCCCACAAATAGTGAACAAATAAGAAGAAATTCGTCCCCATACCATTTTTTGACCATCTTGAAATATCCCTCCAGGCTATGCTGAAAAAAAATCAAACATTCGTCCGCAGGCTAGTTTATATTTTGACCATCGAAGCAATGCTCTCAAACGTGCTCCTGCGGAGGAGCCGCCCTCCGCTGCCCTTACTGGCAGGCGTGGAGAGGTGCCGCAGGAGGAGGTCGGACGTGTCCACCCACAAGCGGACGTGGGACGAAACACAAAAATATCATCCCACAGATATGCTCTCAAACATGCTCGAACAGTGATCAGACAGTCGTCCCCCGACTATTTTCTGACAACTTTCGAAGATTCCTCCTGTAGAGGGGCATGCCCAACTCAATGCTAAGAGGAAGGACGGAACCAGCCCAGGAACTGTCCAGCGATGCCCGCGATGCTAAGAGGAAAAACGGAACAAGCTTACGTCAGGTTCGTGTCGTGCCGACCTCGGCGTTGGTTTCTGACACCGCGGGGATCGTTCAACCTTGAACGATCGGCCGTTTCCGAAACGTCCACATCGTTCCACGTCGAACGATTCTGGGTCGCCCGCGGCGCTCAAAGTTGAACGCCGCTGGCGGGGTCGCCGCTGGTCGACACGACGCGAACCTGCCGGAGGAACTGTCCAGCGATGCCCTCTTTCACCCACATTTCGGCGTGTAGTCATGTAAATCGCAGAAGTATCACGCGAGTCCATTTTCTTAAAACAATCAGTGTCTATCAGTGAAACTGTCGCAAGGCCTTTCGATGAATGCGCGCGGCATTGGAGCAGGAGGCGCATTTTAAAGGTCATTCGTCCTGAATCCGTAAAACTGGTGGAAACCTGTAAGACGAACGTGGACAGCACTAAGGCGAGAACTTCACCTAGGGAAGCGACCCGCTCTTCATCCATGTAACTTCAGGTCGGGCATGTCCCCCTACAGGCGGATTTCGAACGAAACATTAAAAGTAGTCAAACATATTCAAAAATGATCAAACCATGCTCAAAAAATGGTCCCCCGACTATTTGTCCACTATTTTTGAATATTCCTCCTGTGCAGGGACAGGCCTGACTTAACACTACAGCGGGAAACTCATTTCGAATATGGCCGCCGCCTATCCGTGCAACTGCTGCACACATTAAAACTTCAGGACCGGGCGCGGAAGCAGTCTCATTCAAAGCGCGCGGCCAGTTCAAGCCGCCACGTCGGGTGGTGCCATCATTTAAAAGGATGGGGGGGCGTGGCCCCGGGAGGTCCCCAGAGGTTCAGCAGACGCAGACCCGAAAATGCTCAAGACCTGGACTGTGGATCCTCGAAGGCGCAGGTGGGCGACGACGACGACGACCACGCATGGCGGGCGGCGCACGGCGGCGGGGAAGCGGCCAGATGCTTCCGAGACATGAGACCCCGAATTTCTCGACCTTCAGAAGGGAGAAAACACACAGGCACAATGAATCGTCGATTCCCAGGAACAGATGGGAAAATATGGGATGTTGGGCGGAAGACGAAAACCTAGAACGTATGCAAAAATACGGGGAATCCTGGGATGTGTGTCTACTTTTTTGTGTGTGCCCCTTCGTGCATTTTTTTGTCAGTGGCGCCAGTGGGCAACGACTTCGCTGGCCGAGAGCGTCTGGGGAGCTGCCACGCGAGGCGTCTCTGGCGGCCTCTGGGCCTGCGGAGGCCCAATACTCGGGCCCAGGGGCGGGGCCGTCAAGCAACGATGTTGGACGGCAAGCTGGCGCCCAAGATTCCCAATGTTTTCCCATAGGGACCCATGGGGCACACAATAATGGCACCCATGGGACCCATAGCACCAATGGGACCAATGGGACCCACGGCAAGTTGGCGCCCAAGATTCCCAATGTTTTTCCTGTGTGAAGGGACCCATGAAGCACACAAAAAAGTAGACACACATCCCAAGATTCCCAATGTTTTCCCATATCTTCTGGGTTTCCGTTTCCCCCCAACATCTCATATTTTCAAAACTTTTCCTGGGAATCGACGATTCATAGTGCCTGTGTGTTTCTTTCCCTCCTGAAGGTCGAGAAATTCGGGGTCTCATGTCTCGGAAGCATCCGGCCACTTCCCCGCCGCCGTGCGCCGCCATGCGTCGTCTTCGTTGTTGTCGTCGTCGTCGCCGTCGCCCACCTTCACTTTCGGGCGAGATTTCTGTTTGTTTCGTTTTCTCCCCCGAAGGAATAGCAAAGAGAGGGACCCTTAGATCCTGGCGTCTCATTTTTGTTCGAGCCTGGCGTTTTGGCCAAATTTCGCGTCCCAAAATCCTCACGGATCGATCCGGCTCGAAGATATGGCACAGAAAGATGGGGCCCAGGGATCTGGTGGTGATCTTTTGCGATGTTGCAGTTGTTCAACGTCCGGTCTGGGGGGATAACACAGGGACGGGGGTTGGCGAATCAGCTCACGCAACTGGTCTTCACGGTGCCTCCTGCCATCGAGGGAAGAGACCAGCGGCGGGGCCGAAAGCAGCCGCATGCAACACATTTCGCAGCTCCCCCTCTCACAATATCCCCCCCTTGCGTCTAGGTCGCTCCCTTGGAGAGGGACACCTCGACGACCTAAGCCGCGTCGCGCGAAGCGCGAGTATCTTCGTCCCCCTGGGGGTGGCCTACAATTAAATCGGGCGCGTCCCCCTACATGAGGATTATGGACGCAAAACAAAAATATTAGAAAAATACGCCCAAATGGTCAAAAAGATATCAAAAAATAGTATCCAGACTATTTTTTGACTATTTTTGAATATTCCTCCTGTGAGAGGGACAGACCAGACTTAAGCCTAGGCCGCAAGCAGGTTCCACGACATACATGTCAGTCTATTTTCAAAAGCGCAATATACAAATTAATTTATTGTTTTTTGGTTGTTTTTGTTTTTTCTTCTTCTTCTTCTTCTTCTTCTCCGACTGTAGATTCGTTCGACGCGGCCAGGAGCAGCCGCCAGCCGTGCGCCGGGGGGCGGCGCCCGCGTCGAGGATGTGAACGTGCCCCTGACCTCCGGGCCGTTGCCGCGCCACGCCGCGCCACGGCCACGGCCGGCGCAGCCAGGCCTCAGCAGGGCCCAGGCGCGGTCGTCGTCGTCGTCGTCGTCGTCGTCGTCGTCGTCGTCGTCGTCGTTGTCGTCGTCGTTCGTCGCTCGAGGATAGTATTTTTCCCTCATACCGTTTCTCTAAGGGGTCTGATGGTTGTAAACGAGAAGCCACAGAACGCTCCCACAAGGGTGGCGGGGAGCCCTGAGGCTTCCGCACAATGTATTCAAGCATCATGCTCTCGCCGCGCTTCCGGCTACATTTGTTATTCCGGACGGCCACGATCCCTCGTAAACAAACACGCAGAAAAGGCACATGGCCGTGCTCTCGCCTCACTGCCGGCTACTTTTTCGGTCCGGACGGCCACGGCCCCTCGTAAAAAAACGCACCAGGGTGCACGTGGCCGTGCTCGCGCCCCACTGCCGGCTGCATTTTTGGTCCGGAGGGCCACGATCCCTGGCACAAAAACACAGTAAGGTGCGCACGGCCGTGCTCTCGTCCTCGTCATGGTTCCTCACCTGTCCCGCCTCTTCGCCTTTGCGCTGCTACTAGGGTGCTTTGCGGGGATCATTTTGAACTTTTCGTGGCTGGCGTCGTCGTCGTCGTCGTCGTCGTCGTTCTGGTCCTTCTGGAGGTTGTCGTCGCGGTAATGGAAATGGTTGTTGTCGTCCCCATCCAACAAGGAGTGTTGTTTTTGCTCCTCTCCCCCTCTTTTTTTTTTTTCTTTCTCTCTCTCTCTCTCTGATTC